AAAGGGGTTGGAGGGCGGCGGCGAAGGCCCACGGCGACCGGCGACGAGAAGGAAAGATCGGGGCTCGGAGAGAGAGACCGATCCGAATCGACCTCGAATCAAACACTTTCCAAGCGAAATTAGCCGACGATTCCATAAGAGAAAAGGTAGAGGAGATCCCGAAGATTGTTTCCCCTCAATTGATTTCACCGGAGAAGGAAAGGAGCGGCCGGATTTGGAAGGAGACGGCGGCGGCGCGGCGCTAGGGTTCGGGCGGCGGCCGACGCGAGGAAGACGACGACTCCGACAGGCGGGACCCACCTGTCAGCGACCGAACGCGCGCGTGAGGGACGGCTGCTGCTGGACTGGGCCGACTTGGGCCGGGGAGAGAGAGAGGGGGTTTTGGGCCGACTTTCGGCCCAAAGCCAAAAGAGACTTTTAAAAAACCTTTTTCAATTTAAATTATTCATGAAATGCAATTCCATTTATTAAAAATACTTCCTTAGCTCAAATAAATCCCAGAAAAAATCTAGGAATTATAGAATTAAGCAAAATATTTAATGAAATTTTATCTGGCCCCATTTTATATTGGAATTTATTAATTAAAATTAGATCTTCTCTTCTAGGCTTTTAAAAAATAAATTCTAATAATTCCAATTAAACAACAATTTATATATTTTGGATTTTTAGGGTGTGACATCTACATATTTCAATAAAAAAAAGTCCTACCTAAAATTTAAAACTAACTCAAAATTTGAAAACTTTGAACTCTCAACATGAAATTTGAACTTTCAACTCGAATTTTGAAACTTTTAACCTGATTTTAAAAACTTTCAACTTGAATTATGAAAACTTTCAACTGGTAATTTAAAAACTTTTAACGCGATTAAAAAAATTTCTAACTCAAACTTCTAAAACTTTCAACTCGAATTATGGAAAATTTCAACTGAAAATTCATGATCTTTCAACTATTTTTTAAAACTGTGAACTATCCTAAAAAAATAATTATTGATGTATTTTTTTAAAAAAAATATTACTCCAGTACATATTACCATTAGCGCTAATTAGGTCATTTGCGGACTAATCACCCCGGGTGCGGGCATCCCAAATAAAAGCCTTCGCTCCACCCGTCAACGTCTGTTTGTTGTATTCCCCTTCCTTACCCCCAAAATCGAAATCCCTAATTCGACGCCATGGCCGCGACTGGCGGCGCCGCCGGGGAGAAGACGGCCAGCAGCCTCCTGCTCGGCGTCCGGGGCTACACGTCCACCCTCAAGAACGCCTCCACCGCCAGCTGCAGGTTGAGCGCCGGCCATCCCATCGAGGTGACTTTGTGGGAGGCGTCCCCGCCTGCCCTCTCCCACTTCTCCGTCCACTGCCCCGATCTCCCATCCTTCAATGGCAATCTGCTTGGCGCGCCTAAAGCCATCGCCGCCGCCGTCGACGACGCCGACGGCCAGCTCCTCCTCCTCCTCCGAGTCCCCATCGATCAGCTTGGTGCCCCGCATGACAACGACTACTTGGTCTACCATCCGGATCCCCCGTCTCCGAAACTGGATCTGCTCCCCAACCCGCCTCCCCCTACCCTCGGTGACCACCAGCTCGCCATACTCAGCTGCGGCGACGACCGCTACGTCGTGGCCGCCCTCCACGTCTGGAGTGAGTTCACTTCCACGCTGCGCCTGTACAGATCTTCTTGTTCGTCTGGGAGTTGGACATCGGAGGAGGTGTCCGTGGAGGAGCCGGTGAGGGACAGGCTGTGCCCGATCCCGGACTCAGCCAAGAGGCAGCTGTACCACGTCACCACCAAGACCATCACGCTCGGAGGTGCGAAGGGCACCGTGGGCTGGGTTGATCTCTGGCGCGGCATCCTCCTCTGCGACGTGCTCGACGAAATGTCTCCAAGGAAGCTCCGCGACATGCCGCTGCCGTGGCCGGCCAAGGGCAATTGGAGGATGTACCTCAATGGAGATGTGTCCTTTTGTCGGGACATCGCCATCAGCCAACACAAGGATTCCATCAAGTATCTGGAGATGGAGATCGTTTCACCAAGAACGGTGACCACCACCATACCCACCTCCACCTCTGCAGATCCTACTTCATACCTTGAATGGGTTCGCCGCAGCAGAGAACCTCAGCCGACACGGCGACGCTCCGTGTTCCACCCTGGTTCGTGGAGAATCACTACATGGAGCATGCCTATCCCGGTCACTTCATGGGACGACTGGCGCCGTGACTGCACTGCTGAATCGCGTGAAGTCCATCTTGACACCAACCCAAGTCACCATTACGAGTTGCTTCATAGCCTCATGCTCAGCAACAGCGGTGATGAACACAGGGAGGAGGCTCAAGGTCAAGGGGCAACCTCTTCCTTGTCCCTAGGTCGCCTGCGTTTGTGTTACCCGGCCTTGAGTTGCATCGATGATGATGTTGTTTACCTCTTGGGCAACGCTGCTGGCAGGGGTGCTAAGACGGGAGGAATGATGGTCGCTGTTGACGTCAGGAACAAGGAGCTGCGAGGAGTGGCCAAGCTTGACCCCGAAAAGAACACCCTCTACTCCATGCGATGCTACCTTGCAACTGGGATCTCCAAACGCCTCAACACTACCACAGGTACTTAATTACCGCTCGTATTCCAGAACAAATGCAGCGCCATGTGCATATGGGTAATAAAATGCCATTTAAGGATCTAGGGCTGATCATTATAGTTCTTTGTTTATGATGGTCCGAATGACCAAACTAGGACTAGAATGTAGTAACTTTATTTAGGGTGATAGGCTTGATATGTTGATACAAGGGCAGAACAGTACCAAGAGTCCTTTTGGCAGAGTAGTACCAATACTCATTATGCAATATACTGTTTTGTGTGAGTTTCAGACAAACGTTGTGTTTCTAACTGTACTTGCAAAAACAAAACCTGAACTCTGTTAACAGAATAAAGACACCTCCACTAAAATGTCGACGACTAATGCATAAAATTATTTGCGTTCTTCGTGAAAATTCATAGCAGTAAATGTGTCGTCACTCTTGTTTCCTTGTCATTATGCGTGTAATATATTTTGCTAGCATGCATTTAAATATGAAGTAATTAATCAAAGTGCATTCGTACCATGTCAAAAGAACAAGAGAATAGAGCAAGTAATAATAAGGTAGTACTTGACCAAAGCATACTTGAAAAAGTAGTATATTGCTTTAGGTTTTGCTTTTCCTGTTGTACTCAATGTGGACAACATGAATGCTCTTCCTCTTGAGTACTAATTCTTGCTTCAAGGACATTTTATGAGATAATAGCTATTTTATTTGATGTAGACACAAGAGTTGGACGACCTGAGGAGGATGCAGAAGCCGCCGAGTAGAATGTGCGAACCCAGTGACATATATGCATCATACTGCAGCCTGCCTGGATGCAAATATTATCGTATCAGTGGTTTGTTGGCTTGAATGGGGGTTAAGGAGTTGTGCTGTTGCTGGGCATATATAGTTTTGTGACAAGAATCTTATCCAGGTTGCTTACTTTGGGTTGATGATAAAAGTAGGAGTAGACGTGAATAACATTAATATATGTTGGCTTATTTTTTGAGGGGATGTTGGCTTATTTATGTGGCACTAATTGTCTTTATGCCTTTGAGTTAAACACAAAACAATGATCCAACTCTTTGAACCTGTTTGTTTCAAGTAATGAGTTGATGAATTTTTCACCACTTGGAGTCCTCCCTCAAACTGGATCTGCTCCCCGCTGCCTCAAACTGTTTTTTTTTTTTGAACGAATGTGTTTTCTAAGTTCATTCTCAGAACAATGCCCGCCATCAGATTCATCGACTAGCATAGCAAGACAGTATAACTTTTTACCAAAGAAAACTGATTATATAGTATATATAGAATACTTGTCTTACACACAGTGACAATCCAACAATATCTATGCAACAGGAATAATATGTTAGTGTGCAGATCATACCCTCTCAACTCTGAACTCTTCTGCAGCAGGGAGTTCAAGATATATTTTGTACATAGCTGACAGTGCACCATTCCGGACAGCGGGACAGAGAAGCTCCAATCAAAAGTCTCCGATGTTCTGTCTTATCTTCTAGGTTTTCGGGCTTGGCTCAATTGGAAAGGCCCAATTGATTTTGGGCTTGAGTACAACGCAGCATAAGGCGCCACCGATTAGGCCCAAGTACAGGTATACTCAATTAATTACCACTACTACCACTACAGGTATACTCAATTAATTACCGCTCCTTGTTGTCATGTCTGTTATTTGCGTGCTGTTCTACGAGAGATTAATCTCTTTGGCTTAAATTTCTGTCTCAATTCTTAACATGCATAACAGATTTTAATCGGTCAATATATAAGTTAGGCTAAACTTTGTTGTGTTCCTTTGCTTGCCGGCATGTAAGTTCCGAAGAATTTTGTTTAAACTCTACAATGTTTGGCCAAGAAAATTTCTCATATCTAGCTAAGAAGAACTAAAAGGAAAAGAGCTGCTGCTCTTGTTCGCCAGTAATCTGCATCAATGGATAGTGTATACTGATCATTCCGGCGTTGACATGGCGAAAAGTATTTTGTCAATAGGAAGGAGGAGAATCACACGCCAAGTGCATGCATGATTTTTCAATTCATTTCAAGGCAAAGTTTCTAGACAAAGCTAGGTTCTCGATAAGCCGGCCACTTTGATTTGATGACAATTAGGTTAATTAAGGCAATCTTCTTGCCTTTCCTTTTCTATCAATAGTGGACAAAGGTGAGAGCTGATATTTATTATATCCTGTTAGCCATTCAGAAAGTGCTTTCCATGACATTCCAAACGAAATGATATTTTTCTCATGTTCAGTCGGCCATGCATCTTCAGTTTAACTAAACAAGACAAAAAAAAAAAAACTTATATCCAACATAAGATATATATGCCCTATGAGCATAAACGCACTCAGTGATAAAATATACTAGTAAGAGGTAAAGCTAAGGTGAATGCTGACAAGAGACAAGCCCATCTGTCCCTCAAAGATAACAAATACTACTACTGATTGAAACAAAATTAAAGCATGATAGCCACTTCTGAATTTCTGAATGGCTGAAGGGGAAAAAAATTGAACAGGATACTGCATGCTGATCGAGTTGAACAAGTAAGAAAAGGTGTTCATCTTTGCAGAGACAAGATCTAACACATTTCTAACTGCAGAGGTAGTTCATAGCATCCATCGATCACCTACACACAATATCCTCTCTCATGCCTGACCCCTGCACAAACGCACACCGGATTGCAAATACACATAATTTAGATCTTTCTAATGATTTTGTATCGTCAGATAATCTTGCTTGTTTTGGTCGACCTTCAGAATTGAGTTGATGAAGTTCGTCGCAGTGAGCTCTTTGTAGGCATCACCAGTGCAGCAACCTCCTGTTTCAGCTGTCCAAGCAGAAGTACAAGTGCTCGTCACATGAATGATCAAATCACAACATTTCAAAAGTAATGAGTTATTATCAACTACTACCTCCATCCCAGAATATAAGAACCTATGGTCAGATGGGATGTTTCCTAGCACTACGAATCTAGACAAAAATAGAAAACGCATCATCCGATTCTAGATTCTTATATTCTGATACGGAGGTAGTAATTAATTAGTGATGTGAAGATCACTTGTGAATTGAATTAGTGATGAGTACCTCTTTGCACTGCTTCTTGAGATTCAAGTTGTCATCCACCAGCCGGCGAACCTCTTTCTCTAGCTCTTCAACGTACGCCTGCATAACAAATTACTTCACAATTAATACAATCTGAATCGTATTAATATGACAGAACTGGATTCATTGACAAGTAGGCAGTCTGTTTTTTTTTTTGGGGATGCTTATTGCCCTTTTGGTAGGTACAAATGCATGGTTAGTTCTGAAATGGAGTACCTCTAGAGTCTAGAGAGGTTAGATGGAGACGGTAAAAGGAGCTCCTCACTAGCAGCAGGTGTGATCCAATTAATTCATAGTGCAGTCCTATTCAGATGATAGATAGTCGAGATAATGCCAAGCTAGTTTTCATATTTTCCTCTTGTCCCGATCAACTTAAGTTCTTTATGCTTATTTAATTAGTCCGTACCTAACAAGAGAAGTATATATTAGCGTGAGACTATCTGTTAAAATATCTCAAGCATACGAGGAAGACTTTTTCTTGGGGGCAGGAGTAGTTAATTGTGATGTAAGCTGAGTCTAACGTGGTGATTATATTTTGGGATACCGTGTGTCATGCATCGACCCAAATATAGTTAATATCAACTGGGACATTATGTTCATTTCTTTTTTGCTTAGAAGGTTCGATTTGTCGTTGTTAACAGTCTCTATTTAATCTGGAACTCTTACAAATTCAGGGGCACCAATTTTCTCTAATGTTTAATCAAGAAAGAGGATACATGTAGCAATTAACAAATCATTCAAGAAAAGAACATAATTGCACATTCGTTTTTTCGATGGTAATTGTGTTAACTACTTAACTTTAGGAGTGATTTGGGATATTTACTATTGATGATCTATTGAGTTGGCCTAAAGGGCATATATGTGTACAAGGGATGGAAAATATATATAATACCCATGACTACACTACTATTGTTAACAAATTGCACATTCTTTTTTTCCGCACATTCTTTTTTTATTACTATGTACTATTAATTAGTGATATATACATATATATATATATATATATATATATATATATATATATATATATATATATATATATATATATATCAGAGTGAAACCAGCTAACCACAAATTTCCAATATGCATGGAGAGACAAGTAGACACCATGTCCACGAGGATATCATACATATATATACACTCTCTGGTATGGGCCCTTTCTGCTGGACTTGGAATCTTGGATTTGGTGAAGCTGACTTAATTTTGATATTAGTTATCACACAAGTGCCTGCTTGGATGATGATAGACTGGTAATAAAAGAAAGGGCACTAATCAAAGAAGAGATATGCATATTTAGGCCATATTGACTAAACATTATCAACAGGAACCTATGCATGATGCAAGAGATAACACACTCCATCAACTTTTTAGTTCTTTAACAAATTGACCAAACTTGGTCACTATACTCGAGAGTTTCACTCCATACAGTATCTGCCCAAGGTACACACAGATATCTCCTCCATGCACCATCATCAAGGATATAATGTAAAATATATAGACTAACTCCTTTATGAAATGTAATGAAATTTGTTCATATATATTCAGTTGTGTAAACTAACCAGTTCCGACCGGAACTAGCCCGTGACGCTCCAAATTAACCTGTTAATCGATACCAGTCCCAGGAAACAGTGCTGGTATCACAGGGAGACAAAATATCACAGCAACAGAGGTCTCTTTATTATAGAGTAGAGGTATAGTCATGTTGGGCTGCGGACAGATCCCGAGCTCACAACTGCATTACAAAAGGGAAACGGAAGCCAGGACTTGGACCAATCAACACAGGCGCGACTTGGGAACTAGGCCGAAACCCTAAAACTCATCGTAGCCGGCCTGCTCCTGGAAGAACTCCTCATCAGCAGGTTCCGCTTCATCTTTTTCAGCAACTGGGGGGGGATTATTTATATAGAGCAAGGGTGAGTACGGGAGTACTCAACAAGCCATGGGAAATAAGTGTTTAATGCAGGCTTCAAGGAAAGGCTGTTGTTTTTGCAATTGATTTTATTTGAACTCTTTTTTCTAAAAACAACTAAGTGAGTGCTTCTCAAACGACACGGATGAGACAGTGCGTCTCGTCCGGTCGGAGTATGTGCAATGTATCAGTCTTTAGAATTGAAACAAGGTTGGCACCCGGCCAACAGCTTTTCAAACGGCCACCCGGGCCAACAACTTTCAAACGGCCACCCGGGCCTAGCTGATCCCATCAGCTGCAGGTTTTTCAAACATCAAACCCCTTTCCACAACAGCAATTTCACAAGCAGTAGTCAAACAAAACTACGCTAGGAATCACCTCACATCCGCCCATGACCGTGGGCACGGCTGTTCGAACAGTTTGTTAACCTCTTCAGAGGGGGTACACTTTACCCACACGACATTACTAACCCGGATCACCCAGCCCGTGGGGATCAGCCACGTCGGGAGACCTCCAAGCTTTCATGACAAGGCATTTCCAAAGCCGACACAGGTTTACCATATGCCGACGAGAGGGGTCCCAGACCAACAACAGGTTAGGTCCCAGACCATACTGTGCCAGGAAGCCCAGGGGTCCTCCCCGACACCACCCCGGCGAATCCACATGTCTCTCGGCATCAAGGCTCCCCTGATAAGCTAATTACTCAGCCAAGGGTGTCCCATTCCACCCATGTGGTCGTACTTATCTTATGTTTGGATGAAATTCCAAGGAAACGGTCCTTAGGTGCAAGAGCGGAAAACCGTACACCCGGTACGTTCCCCGGTCCGCGGTTTTGGAAATTCATTTAGTTCGCAAGCACCGACCCAGGTGTCGGGTTTTCCAAGTCTTTTGTAAAACCCAAGTTTTACCCAAGAAGTTACTCAGGTTTTAAGTTTGAAGGCGACCGTCGATACTCGCACAGGGTGCACAAATATCGAGGCGCAACTAGATGGTTACGAGGGAACATGATATAACAATTAACAAAGGAAGGATCAAATGCAACAAAATAGGTAGGTCCGCCAATCTGCCTTGCAGACGGGACAACAAATTAAGTGCGATCCTATCAATGCATAATATTTTTCAAGCAACATAATTAAATTTCAAATATAGGCTCAAGATGTTCAAAGGTGGCTTGCCTTGCTCGAGATCTTGAGCTTGATCCTCGAAATCCTCGTACTGCGGGTCTTCGGGCTTCGAAACTATACGCAAAACGGGACAACTCAACAAACGGCGAAAATAAAGCCCTATTAATGACCTCTAAGCGTGCCATTAGATAGATCTCGAGATTTGAGGAATTTTGGAAGTTGAACGGAGTCAAACGGATTTACGGTTGAGAAGATATTGAATTTCTAAGATTATTGGATTTTTGGTCTAAAGGAAAAGGATTTAATTAAATCCTTTTTGGAAAAGAAAAGAAAAGAAAAGAAAAGAGGGAGGGAAAATAGACTTTTCCTCGGGCGGCTAGGGCGCGGCCCGAGAGAATTGGGGCGGTCCGGCCGAGCTAAATGGGCTGGGCGGCCCAAGGCGGCCCAAGACGCGTGCGCGCGGGAGGGGAGGAGAGAGAGCGCCAGTAGACCGGGCTCACCACGCGCGGTCCCGAGTGGGACCCGCTTGTCAGCGGCTCGGCTCGCCGTGCGGAGGGAGCACGCGGCGCACGCGCGCGGGCGGGGAAGGGATGCGGTGCACGCGCGTGGTCCGCGGTGAAACGGATGCGGCGGGCCCACGCGCAGCCTCACGGCTCGCGGTGGAACGCGCGCACGGGGAGGGGCTGACCGGGGTCGGCTCGACCCGGTCTTGGCCGAGCTGGCGCCGACGTGGCGCCTACGTGGCTGCCACGCGGGCTGGCGGGAGGTAGATGACGAGTCGACGACGCCTGCCGGAACGGACGGCGGTCGACAGCGGCGAGCGGCGGAGCGAACCACGGCGATACAGGCGAAAGCGAGCACACCGGGTGGTTGCTCAGGTCGAGGAGAGACGAGCCAACGGCTCGGATTCGTCGGAGGGAGCTTGACGGCGATGAATTGCGGCGGCGGCAAGCGGCGGCGGGAGAAGGGGGAAATGGCGACGAGGTCACGAGGGGCCAATTCCCGGCGGTGAGAGCATCTATGCGGCCACGGGAATCCGTTGCTAGCGTCGGATTGAGCGGAGCTACGCCGAGCGAGGCCGGCGACAAGCGGGTGCTACGGAGCACGGGCGGCGACGGCGGCGAGCACACGGCGAGCGGCGGCAACGGTCGGGGCGGCGCCGGCTAGCTACGGGGAGGCTACTCGAGCTACTACCGAAAATTTAGGGGGAGAGGTGGAGCGAGGAGGAAGAACGGAGGGAGGCACTACCGAGATGAGGAGGGGCGCTGTGAAGAGAGGCTGACGGCGCGGGAGTAATCTCTCCGGCCTCGGGCCGGGGAAGAGGAGGAAGACGAGCGCCCGGAGTCCCCTTCCGCGTCCTCGCTCGTGCCGGCTCCTCCGACGCGCGCAACGACGAACGGCGTCGGCGAAACAGAGGGGCGGCAACAATGGAGTGGAGGCGATGGGAGGAGAATAGAGGGAGGGCGCCCGGGGCTTTAAAGGGCGGCAATGTCGGTTTGGAAACCGACTTGGGCGGTCAAGGCGCGAGCTGGCGCTCGGCGCTCGCGTCCAAATCGGCGACAGGGCGGAGGGAGGATGACGCCGGCGGGAGGAAAAGGGGAAAAGGAGGGAGAGAAAGGGGAGCTCGCCCTTTGCTTCTTTGGGAAAAGGAGGAGGGGAGCGGGGGCGACGTGGCTGAGGGAGGAGGGCTCTGCCTCCGTCCCTTGGCGGCTTGCGCGCGGAGTGGCGGGGCCGAGGCGATGACGACGGCGTTGACGGCGGGGCGATTTGGAGCGGAGCGGCGACACGGGCGACAGGCGCGGGCAGAGGCTGACGGCGGCGGCGACCGGGCGGTCGGCCACCACGGCACGCGCGCGCGGGATGCAACGGGAGGCGCGGCGGATTGAGAGGCGCGGCTCGGGCACGCGCGCTGGCTGCGGGGCCGAGCGGCTGCGCGGCCGCAGGCGCGACAGGGCAGCGGGGCCGGGCGGCGCAGACGCGACGCGGGCGGGGACCACGCGGGCGCGCTCGCGCGAACGAGCGCGGGGAGCGGCAGCGAGGGAGCGGAGAGAAGGGCTCGGCTCGGCGCGGGCGGCTCACGCGCACGCGCGCGGGCAGAGCGGAGGGGGGAGGGGCGCTTGGCGCGGCGGCTCACGCACGCGCCGGCAGAGCGGAGGGGCGAGGGGCGCTCGGCGCGGCTCCCGCGCACGCGCGCGCAACGTGCGGGCGGAGCGGAGTGGAGGGAGAGGAGAGAGAGCGAGAGAGAGGGCGCCGGGGAGGGAGGGGGAGATGGGCCGAGAAAAATTCGGCCCATCGACCCCGGGGGAGGCAAAATAGACTTTTGCGGAGGAATTTGATTTGGAAGGATTGGATTCGGAATTGAACTCGACGATAGATTGGGGATTTGAGATCTGAGATGGCACGGACACTAGACAACAAGCAAAGAAACAAATTTCGCGATTAGGGTTTTTAAGAGATAATTTTCCCGCTAGGCGCCACGACGGAACGGGTGCTACACAGGGTTTGCCAGACCCCGGGACAACTCGGGACGAACGCGCACGCCAGTGTTTCCAATACCGCGTGGGCGAGGCAGGGGACCACCATGAATCATAAGCCAATGTTGAAGGAGACTAGCAGAGAAGACCTCCGGAACGGTCGCAACGCGAGAACGACGTAGAGGGAGAATTGCCGGAGCAGCATGTA